TTCCAAGTCCCAACGAGGACATAAGTACGCACTGCTGACGAGTTCCGTCAAAGAGGAAGCAGCTAAACTGTGCTCGTGGGTCACTATAATTTATTCCTTTATTGATAATAATGCAATGAATATCCTAAGCCAAAGGCACTATTAATGTCGGCTGATGCTTTTTTTTTCTCTGGTATACTTCGTGAAATATTTATTCAAAACAGAAAGGTAGCTTATACAGGTGCATGGTTTACATTTCTTAGTGGATAAGCCAAAGCCGAATGAGTGGTTTTTTTCGTATGGGAGCTACTAAATAGCATCAGTTATTACTGTCTGGTCCATGTGAAAATGTTTTCTTTGAACTCGACTAACTTGTGCAAGCAGATAATTTTTCTTCACAGATGCATACATAATAAAAACACTTACGAACACAATCCATTAGGTCAGTTGCCATCCATGTGCATAGTAGCTCCATTGTGAATAAATGACCCAAGCTAATTGTTTTCCTATAAGACCATCAACGTTGATTGTGCGTGAACTCATGACTCAACTCTCCGGATTCCTACTTGTTCAATGGGCACTCCTTAATGGATATTACAAATTTTAATGACCATTTGTAAATGCTTCTAATTTTTCAGTTTCAGGTTTAAAAAATCCGAAAATCTTGTTGACAATTTGTTACAAGTCGCGTATATATCAGTGTCAACCTACCCGTCTCTACAACCCAAACCATCATGAATACCACGGGAGAGTTATCTACAGGAATCTGATCCTATGTAAAAGGACCAGGGATGACAGATCGGTCGGAGAGCTTCTGTATTTCACTCCGCGAAAAGACAATTAAAACGAGCTGCTCGTTCTCTTATGCACATTTTTAGAATGGGCATGACTGGTCTTGCGCACTTACTCGGAAGCAAATAAAAATGAGCTGTAGACCAATAACTAGCTACCATTGATAAGATACATAATAAAGGTCCTTAGTTTCGAAGAAAATATAGCTTTTGGGTTACAAAAATAAAGAAAATTAAGTCTTGAGGAAAATAACCCAAAGGGGTCGTCTGATTTAGTTGATTCAGAGTAAGAAACTCGATTAGATCAGTGGATTCTTACACTTTTTGTGACGAATACAGTTTTTCCTTAGGAATCTGCAACCCTACTTGATCTTGTTGCCCCGTCTCGTTTACTTTCGCAATAAACAAAATATTGATCTTCAGATGGTTGTCTCCTAAGTGTTGCTGTTAGTTGAATAACTATGAATATAAAATATAAATAGTTATATATATGTATATATATAACTATAACTGTATAAAATTAAATGACATCGCTCGTCTTCTCGGGTGAAAAAATATGCACGAAAAGCAATTGATCCTAGGGGTATTTAAAACTTACCATTGCCGCGTTCCATTCGCCGCCTACCCAGTAGTCATAGAGACAGTTCAGGCGCCTCATCGTGAATACTTAGAAATCAGGGTTTCTCAAATCCCCGAAACCGGTCAGTTATCAACGATTCATCAAGAGTCTGTAGATTGTAGGTAGAAACTTCCCAACAGAAGAACATGGATCATTAAGAGCATTTCGAAAGATCCTACCATAGCAATATCGACTTACTGAAGAATGCACCACCAACCATGCATTAGAAGCTTGGTGTCACAGCAATTTTACCAATGCTTTTATGCTTGCACAGTGTAGGCTTAGCAAATAGATCGGAAAAGTCCTGTGATACTTGAGCATTAGTGTCTTCATGCATATAAGAAGATAACTGTATCGGTAATGTCGATGTTAGATGTAAAGTACTTGCTGTTTCACGCAGTTTCTTCAGCTGCTTAGTCTGAGAATGCGGGAAAGTTCTTAGGCTTCATTCGCAGGTAGTAAATGATTCAAACTGTAAAGTTAATCTGGGTGGCAACCCTCACTGGTAGAACGGATAGAGCCAATCATTTTAGATTATAACGGTTCTCCTATTTTGCTTATTTTTATTGATGATTGATTCTATACATCTGTCGACCCATATGATACTTGAACTAAATGTAAGAGTAGCAGGAATACAGACGGAATGTCAGTGCTGCACACATTGCTAACCTATCAACTATGTAGTTCAATAAAATCTGAACTGTCCTATTTTTTCTGGCTGTCCCGACCATATACATTTTAGCTTCTATGATGGAAGGCTCTGTCCGTGGTACCAAATTCTCCTACTCTGCTTCTGGATGGGTTAATTCAGACGCTTTCATCCAATGGTTCCTGAAGCATTTTCGGCTCCTCGTTCCTCTTCGCCCTCTCGTCCTATTCTACGACGGTCATCTTCAGTTCGTCAGCGTCCGCGTTTTAGAACGGGCTCGCGAAGACGATGTATTCCTTTTTCCTCTTCCGCCTCATCCCGCCTACAATCATTGTGTAGAGAATACCTGTTTTTGGGCTTTTAATGTAAGTTTGGAAATCAAAAATGGATGTGACTAGCAATATATTCGTAAGCTTTTTTATCTGTCTTTGCATAAGGTTTCCTTGTGTATTCACGCAATAGGTCTCGATTCTCACTTGATTACCAGTACTATAAACTTTTTCCGATTTGTGTCAAATCGATGCTGACCCCTTAATACTGATCAATGTTGATTGCCGCACTCATGCTCGTTTTCCTATTACTAACATTGTTTGCCTTCCGCTCAGTTTAAACNTTGTTTACCGCTATTCTGAATTAGTTTTCATCGTCCGGATGCTGGTTTTTAGTTGTTTACGTGAATATTCCAGTGACCCGATCACATATGATGCGAGGTTCATGCACAATACACACGCACTTGTTTTAACTGCCATTGAATTAAAAACAGTATCGTCAGTGAACAAAATATTCAGTCAGAAAATAATCGAGAAAGAAGATGAGCTTGTTGTCATTAGAGAAGTACGTAGAACCTCTGTCATGCACTATGTATCAATTTTTTCTGACGATTTCGAAAAGTAGAAGTTATTAGC